ATCCTGTTGTTGTCTTTGTAACTTTTATGACCGTTGTGACCGTTGCCGTTGTAATTCTAAAAATATTATTTAGAAATCAATACTATTTAGTAAAAGAAATTAAAAATTTTACAGATTCAAAATTAAATATTTACTTGGTTTTTTCCAAAACCCACTTCTGAACTCTACATGATATCTTTCTCCGTTTCTTGTTTGTTTTCCTCTCGGGTCCTCACTTAAAGATAATTCCATTAACTAGAAAGATTATGTAAATTAGCTTATATTTGAAGAGATAATGATAGTATAGTATTTGTATAATATTGAATATTTACACTGCAATCCTTTACGATGCCATGGAATTTTTCAGAAGCCTGGCGCCCTGTATAACTAGTTCAAAATCTCTGATTTATTTTTCCGGCGGTCGAGGTCCACCACGATCGTTTACAACTCCCCCCACCGAGGGAGTGGTAATGATCGTTACCTTCTTTTCTTTCGTCAATCAACATTCTAACTTCGTCATCGGTCCACATTTTTAAACAATTAAAATTAAAATTTTTTTTGAAAAAAAAAAAAAATTGAAATTGAAATTTTTTTTGAAAAAAAACAATTAAAATTGAATTTTTTTTAAAAAAAAAAAATGAGGAAATGAGGAAAACGAATGAATTTGATTTAATTTTTTTTTTTCATAAATTAAATAATACTTACTTGTTAATGATGTAATAAATATCAATAAATAAAAGTCTAATTAATAATAATATTACTTATTAATGATGTAATGAATTACTACTCTGATTGATCAAATTGAATTACTCTATGTTTATGTATAATTCTGTGATTTTACCCGTGACTCACCCGCGATAATATAATACTTATAATATACTGAACACCCTCGATTCACCCGCGACTCACCCTTGACTCATTCGCAACATTACTAAACACTTTGATGTAAGACACTATACTATTATCGTGAGATTGATCAACAGTTAGATGATTAAATCATAACCATCTCTTATAAAAAAATTACACAAATTTGAACCTTTTTTTTTATCAATTGACAAAAAGAATTTAATCACTAATACTTTATTAACAGTCAACAGGTGCCTCATTTCGAATGGTATGTGATTACAAAATGATGACCTAATACTCAACAGCGGCCTCAATATCAAAGACATTCGAATGGTATGTGATTACAAAATATGAATTTACCTCGCGAACCCACACAAAGAAGCAGTTCTTTAGAAAATGTGGCTAGACAATTCAACGATTTTAGTTTTTACAAAATGTAATACTTCACAACTAAAACTAAATGTACAAGCGACCACTAGCCTACCAATACTAAACAGAACAGAATGTAACAAAATGCTTTGGTTAATTATTTTTTTGCGCCATTGATTTTTTAAATGGCTATTGCTATATATATATATTTTATGTTTATTGTTGCGCCATTAAATGTATTGCGCCATTAAATGTATTAAATGGTTATATAGTACTATTATTTCATAATTGTATTATTTATTTATTTATTTATTTTATTTCATAATTGTATTATTTCACAATTGGATTTCTTATATGGCGATATGCAAAATTGCATGTGATATTTTAATAACTTTTGTATTCTGCAGTTAGCCCATTATTTTACTTATATGGTTAAATTTATTATGCTCTCAATCTTAGATTATCAATTATTGCGCTAAAATTTTCTAAAAAATACTATAAAATAATATACTACTGTATATAAAAAAAATATTTTTTCTTTGCTAGAATTTATACATATATAAAAAAAAAAAAAAAAAATTTCCCATGATTTTTAAATTCTTTTCGTATAAAAAAAATTTTTTTTACCTCCTTAAAAAAAAAAATTGGCAAGTCTCTCACCTTCCTCCTCGCCTCTCACCTTCTTCTCCTCGCTTTAATATTTTTTTTTTAAAAAAATGAATAATAATAACAATAATCCTAATAATAACAATAATCCACTTCTTAATGCTCATCAAACAACTATACGGGAGTTTAAAGAAGGAATTAATTCTATACATAAAATGACGGTTAACGCTATCATTAATAACTTGCAGTAAGTAAAATAATTGATAAAAGAAAAGAAAAAAACCTTTAATTATAATCATAATTTTAAATACATTTTTTGGACTTGTAATAAACAGACTACCAGTGCCTCCAGTATTTGGAAGTAGAACGTCTACGTTTAGCTTGTTCACAACACCTTCGTTTGGAGTACCCTCATTCGGAGTACCTTCGTTCGGTGCACCCTCGTTCAGAATAGGTAATAAATTTTATTATTTTATATAAAATATATATTTAACAACTTATAAAATAACTTCTATTTCTATTATATTATTATAGCTGCGGCAAGAGCAGCAACAATAGCAGCAATGACCACAGCAGCAACAACAACACCAACACCAACCGCACCAACAACAACAAGTGCACTAATACTAGCTGCACCAACACTACCAACCACATCAACAACCACATCAACAACCGCATCAACAACCGCATCAACAACACCACCAATACCAACCGCATTAACAACTACATCAACAACCGCATTAACAACCGCATCAACAACCGCATCAACAACACCACCAATACCAACCGCATTAACAACTACTGCTGCATCAACCGCAACAACAGCAGCTATTGCAACAACAACAATAGCAGCAGCAACAACAACAACATATCACCAGTCATCAATTCCATCATACTGGCCTTTACAGCAGCAGCAGCAGCAACAGCAGCAACAGCAACAGCAACAGCAACAGCAGCAACAGCAGCAACAGCAACAGCAACAGCAGTAACAGCAACAGCAGCAGCAGCAATGGCAACGGCAGCAGCAATGCCAGCAGCGTATGCAGCGCCGACAGCGCGAATGTTTTGAATCAACGGGTAATAAAATTTATTAATTTAATGTAAAAGTAAATTTTATAAATTATTTAATAATAAAATTTTTAAATTAATAAAAATAGGAGCTGTTTGCTATTATTGTAATGATAATCATTACATCTTCGCTTGTACTCAAATACCGAAAGAGTACAAAGGCCTTTGCGTTAATTGCTGGGCGGACGATCATATGGTTATGAGTTGTAATAATGTTAAAATAAGAGAGCCTTGGCTCTAAATTTTTTAATTTTTTAACTTTTTTCTAATCTTTTTAATTTTTTAAGTTAGATTAAAAATTATTTTCTGAATCATGTTATGTTCTTGAACATTTTTCCGATTGGGGTCGGATAATAAAAGATTAATTAAAATATTCGATTGGGGTCGAATATTTTTCTTTTTTTGATTGGGGTCAGATATTAATCTTTTAAAAAATGTTCGATTACTATTTTTTTTTTGTCCGATCGATTGGGGTCGAATTAATTTTTGATTACTATTTTTTTTTGTCCGAGTCGGATTAATTTTTTTAAAAAACGTTCGATTGGGGTCGAACCAATATAATAAAAAAAAATTTTTTTATAAAATTATATATTTATTTTCATATATATTATTTTTAATATTTTTTATTTATTTTTAATATTTTTTATTTATTAATATTATTAATTCGCAATTCGTAAAAAAAGTAAACATGAAAAAATTTACATTACATTTATATAATGATCGGTAGGAATAGTAG